CTAATAAGCGTGATTTGTTAATAACAACAATATTCCAAACTATGATGTCATAGTAATATTAGTTTTTTTTCATTTAGTTTTTTACTTTGGTGCCTACTTTTCACTTTTTGATATGCCTACATCTATATAACTGTTAATTGTGTGCATTCATAAAAACACAGGATTATCGTTTAGTTATCGTTCTCTTTTACAGCTTAACTCTGTCTGTTCTTAATTATTAATAACATTTTAATAATATTGATCATTATAAAAACTTAAATTTTACTCATTACACGATGTAGGCCTACACTGTACACCGACATTTATGTAAACACAAACCAATTAAAAATGTCAATGATTCATACAATACGTTGCGTTCCCCTATCATCCCATCACCTAGAATCTTTAACTACATAAAACCCACAAGGAAGCGGAAGTATAGATTTGATTGCGCCACAATAAGAATCAAGAGGGGCTCGAGGCGTGAACCTCTCAACAATCAGGGGGGAACTGAAGGGGGCTGAAACGGGGTACAGGGGGTTCCACAGGGAGCACACCAACCGACACACTCACTGTCAACACGGTTCACACGCAAAAGGGGGGAAAACACGGAAAATTAAACGAGAAACATGTTCACCATCCGCGAACACTTGCCGGGGCGACTGGAGGCGCTTGCGTCGCGACGGTGGCGCTGCGGTGGCCGGGTCGATAACTAACAACTATCCAACCGCAGCCGCCAAATTCAATTTTCTTTTCGTTAATTTTTCCGCTTGAATCCACAAGGTAATGCGGCTAATCGGTCGTTGCGACGAATATTACTTTGGATCGTTGTGAAACGACTAAACTGGTCATCTAATATGTTTCTCCAAGATGTGTTTATTGCTAATTAGAAAATTTGATCTTTGAAATGTTTTTAATACATCTATAAAAGTATATAACAGGAAATTTTAAAGCATTCCAAATAGGAGGCTAAATCGTCACTATAATTTTCAAAGATTTTATATACTAGGCCTATTTCGTCTTTAAATATTGACATTTTTCCTTCTACGACAGTGGATAGTTATGAGAGTTATGTTTCGTGTAGAAAATTTCCAAATTCTGATGTTTTTACTGTCTTAAGATAGTTAGGTTGTTGGATCCTTGTAACACAAAGAAAATTTAACTAGATTAAAAAACTACCCTTCGGAAGATGGGAACAGGACCAAGTGTCGTCCTAATCTTTGCCGCGGGGGTCAAAAAGTGTCAAACCCGTCAGGTTGGCCCGCGTGATTTTGACTCCCCAGAGATCAGAGTGATTCAAAGGAGGGGTATTAGTTGAATGGGGTGTAGTGAGTACGATGTAACGAAGATAGAGTACAGTTTCTTAACTGGGCTACCCTAAAATCGATTTAAATAGTCAAAATCATTCCATTTTTTCATAATCAGCAAGTTTTGTTTAAGTTAGGTTAGGTAAAAATAGTTTCATTCCAACCCTAAAACAACCGGTGGAACCGGTCACTGACTGACCTGGCACTCGCACCGCCAAGGCTGTAAAATGACCCTCGTCAAAGATTTTGGGCAAACTGCACTCGGTCCTGCTCTCCGGAATATCAATCAACCACTCGACTACGTTGTGAGAGTTAAATAGACTTGGCAGTTAGCGCAGATTATTTTACACTAAATTGAACGTTATTCATAAAAGAGTAGGCTACTGTTGTATATGGTCATTTTACTTTTATCCGTATGAGAAATTTTTTCAATATCGTCTGCTTTTACAAATAGTTAAAGTTAATAGCCCAAGTATTAAGTGTTTTGCAAGGGCACTGCCTAATACACGGTAGTATTTATTATCGAAGGTATTTATTAAAGTAGCTATTTATTAATTCGAAGGGCTGTTGAAAGCTTCACTAATGAGTACCACAATAATGTTGAAAAAAAAACAACTTTAATCAAAAACAGCTTTAAAAAGGATCGAACCAGCAATCTTTGAACTGTAAGGCTAGCATTGTGACAACAGTTAATAACTTTCGGTGTTTTGAAAAACGTGATTAGATTGTTAACCAATTTTCATATTAATTATTTACAGTTTTAGCATTACCAATACAAAACTTTACCCGGGGCAAATACACCAACAACCTTAGGTAATACAGTAATTTGCGTTGTGATATACAAATGATAATATAATAAACCCCTCATGTTGATACAAAATCACCCTCGCCCCCACAAATATTGTATAAGATTCGCTAATCTATTTGTCGCTTTACCGTGAAACCTCGATTTATACGTTGCTTCGATAAGCCAATGACATAATGACAAGCACATTTCATACCTCAAACTCGCCTTAGCTGAAAATGAATATGCATTTTCAAAGAATCATTTAAAATATAAAAAAATGTTTTGTATTAGTTTATTTTTAGATCATAATTTTGATTTTTAATGTATCCGACATTGGGTAAATTATAGTTTGAGAGAAGGTAAAAAAGGGTTTAGAAAATAGTTTCCTAGGATTAAATTGTGATAATTCTTACTCTCTTGTATTGGCACACCGTAACCAATTGCAAAAATTTGTTGTAAATGAAAAGTTAACAGGTTGATGGTTAGTTTAAACGTGTATTTTAACTATTTAAACGACTTCTTACGGTAAAAAGTTACGTACCACCTAAATATTAAAAATATACTTAATAGTCGTTTAAATATGAAGGCGTCCTCTAATAGACTTATTGTTGTATTCAATCGTACATTTTCAATTTGTTTAAACAGATTCAAATTCTACAGGTTTTTAATCTTAAGTTTTTATTTTATACACATTCATAGAGTGTCTTACATGCAATGAGTTTTTAGTGGAAAATGTTTTGTTAAATCAATCCAAAATAACAACATGGAACGTACTATTAAGGAAGATAATGGATATTATCATTCAAGGAATGCGATTATTTTTCAAAAGCCACAAAGAAACCGCGTTTTTTTAGTTTTTACGAAAAATAGTTTTTACATAAAAATTATTTACGAGTTTAAACTACGTAACTTCTCAAGCTGGATCAGACGACTTAAAAAGTTTCCGACAACTTTTACCCGACATCGGCTCAATAACAGTTCGGCGTCAGTTCCGAATCGGATGCTTTAGAGCTAACAAACTATAAAACAATCGGCATAACTTTTAACTTTCAAGAATGGGAAAACTTTTCGATAAAGTTTCTTTGTCCATGTTAAAGTGTTTTAAGTCGGGCATGTTTCAATAGTATACACTTAAGCTAGTACCTAATAATATCGATCGAGCACAATGTAGCTGAGAAAATATATTAAATCAGCTTATGGTTCGGATTGGATTTAAAACTACGTTCCTTGTTTGTACAAGATCAAATAAAATGAAGACATTTTATGGAATCGTTAGGTTATAAAAGTATAAATTATCGATTTAGTGGTTAAGGTTTGATATATTTGCATGTCTGGTGTTTTGGTGTTAGTTATGCTAGAAATGGAAACTTCTGACTGTTCGTTCTACACCTTTTCATTATTCTGTTGGGCTAACCATTTTTCACTACAACCGAAAAACGTTCTAGTACGTTTTAATCATCATTTATTAAAAAAACCCTCAATAGATATTGCACTTAAGTTTGCCAAAAGACTGTTTACTGGTAAATATAAATAAACAGTCAAATGTTTTTCAATTGTTTTGTTAAAACAGATAAAAGTTTAGAGTGTTGTGGTTCGATGAAAGAAATAAAGATGGTTTTTGTTAACATTTAATTTGTAAGTTCTGAAGTTTAATCCTTAAGTAATCGTTTATGATATCAAATTATTTGAATCACGTATATTGACGATTTCAAAACCATACCGTTTATACCAATTTTTCATAGACAAAAACCATATAGGCTATAAAATATTATTAAAATCGTATCCATACAAGACTTTACTTTGCTGTTTGTAGATAAATAAACAGCACAATAATATTCCTCTTATCAGTTTGGGAATAAATTTCAAGGCACAAGATACAATACGGAGGACCAAGGTAATATTTTACACGGAAGATAAAAAGCAACACAAAAATTAATACGAATCGTCAAAAAACACCAATAAAAGTTTTGAGTTACCTGTTGCCAATAGGCATAATTTTTGACAATGTTTAATGTAATGAAACCTATGTGCTATAAAAATCTATCGCTTTATTTGCTTACAAACTAAAGCCAATAATCAGCAATACCGTAGTTAGATGAGTGATAAACTTTGCGTTTACACAATACGTCACAACTTCAACTCGTGAAGTTGTCCGATCACGTGGACCGCATTGGAAGTTACAAACCTAACAAGCGCTTCAACTTCAATTGCTGCTACTCTGGCACTTCCACGTGCAACTAGACAGTGCAGACTGTCGGTGGGCAATTGATTATATGCACTAAATAATCAATAGTTAGGTAGGATGACCAAGTTTTACTGAGAGAAGGCTATTGGTTATTTCTTGACATATAATGACAATACAGCAAAACAGGGTAAATTTTAAGGGTATTTCGAAATGTTTAACGAATGGCTGGTGAATGAAAATCGTGATAGTGTAGTGGCCCAAATTTGCTTAGAGAAGGTAGTAAATTTTTCTCTATAAAATACTAATAACCAACGGCAATGCGTTATACTAATACATACTAATAATAGTCCTTACTAATAATAAGTCCTTAAATTTTTACTTATTTCCCGGCTGATATGACGAAACAAATCGTCGAATGGAGTTGGGAACCGACTACAAGGATGTAGACTTATTGAATGAAGCAAAGAACGCAGAGCTTGTGTCGTACATGAACTACTTTTCTTGGCCACAAAAGTCGCTCGAATTTGTCAGTAATTTAGAAACAGCCCTCATCTACTCCGGGAAGTTACACCAATGGCTTTCTCGTAAAAAATAGATGATTATTCAATTAAGTTTTATTTAGGTAAAATCCATACTCTTGCTGGATCATTTTGATGGGATGCCCTGCACTATAGACAATTCAATGGTAGGCCTACTATCCGAGCGTCTAGTTATCAACACACGACAAAGAAGATCCACTCACCATGAACATCGGGATGGGGAGGCGGCCCTTGTGGGTGAGGTGGTCCAGGAGGCGGTGGGTAGTTGGGAGGCGCGCTGAAGGCGGAGGAGCATCCATGACGACGCTGTAGGGGGCTGAGAGGAGGCCCACGAGGGCCCTGACAAGGGGGGTGATGGTGCCCGGGGGGCTGCATGCTGGACAAAGCACTCAGCGGAGTGTAGGACTTGCAGGGGGTCGCAGCCAGCGCGGTAGTGACTACAGTCTGGGCGGTGCCTCCCTCCGGTAGACAGGCCGGCTGGAACAAGAATAAAACAAGTTGAAGGATAACGCTCCTTTCACACTATACGTTTTCGCTCGTACGAGTGTTAATCGTGCGGGCAGACGGTCGTGGGTCTGTTGCTTTCACACTATACGATTTGTGATCGTACGAGTAATAAATCGAAACCCCCCACTCCACCAGTACAGAGTTCATTGATACTTCAGTGGAAAGTTTTGTGGAGTATGGATCGGGAGCAAATTATTGCTGCGCTAATTATTTACAGACGCAGGAAAAGAAATAAACGCGGCCGTCTGCACCGGGTACAACCCATAAATGTAAAACGTGAGGAAGTGGGTGTGTTTAATACATTATTCGAAGATTTGAGGAACGATGAAGCCAAGTTTTTTTAACTATTTTCGTATGTCGAAAGAATCGTTCGACGAATTGCAAAATCTGGATTCAATGCGAAGCACACTTCTTCCCAGGCTTTTCTTGTAGCAATTCTATCTTTGTAAACGTCCAATGTTTTGTCACATAAAACAAATTTTGATTCAACAAGTGAAATTAAAACTTCAGGGTCTATTGCATCCATTTGAACTATATTAAGACAACTGAAACTAATTACAACAACTGAATAATACTATACAGTGCGCACAGGTAATTAAACTCAATAACCAAACAATTAAAATAAAAAACGAAATAAAAACTATATAGCAAAAACGCTGCGAACTGCACTCGGGGAGGGCTCCCGCACGACTAACAACCGTGTAGTGTGAAAAGGGCCATATGGTCACATGGTCCACTAGCAGTAGACACGACTATTACTCGTGCGGGAGTCGGATACCAACCGTGTGCACCTACGGTCGCTACACGGGTGAAAATCGTACACGGTTGGTAATCGTATAATGTGAAAGGGGCTATAAGCTCCAATGCGATACAACAAATACGACTAATAACCACACGAGCGAAAACGTATAGTGTGAAAGGAGCGTAAGAATCATTGGGGAAAGATTTAAGCTAAGAGGAAAAATACATTCTAGGGTTAACTCAAGGGAACAAATATCCACAGGCAATAGTGGGAAGCAATCCTTGGGTTGCTTAAAGGAAGTGAATATTTGAGCTAATTCAATGGGATAATGAATCCTAGGGTGAAGTTTAGAGGTAAAAGAAACCAAGAGTAAAGTCAATCCATAACTCCCTGGTCAAGGGTAAGAAAATACTAGGGTTTAAACGAGGCAATAGAATCCTAGTGTAAGGCCAAAGGTGAAATGGATTCTTTAGATAAACTCGAAGGAAAAAAGAATATGGCGGCAAACTCAAAGAAAAAATAATCCTAGAGTAAGGTAGAGTGAAGAAGTCTTGGGGTAAAATCTCGGGGAAATTAATTCTAGGATAAAGTCGTGGGGGGAAAATTCCATAGTAAAGTTAAAAGTGGACCGTCTAAGGAACAAAACTGATTTTTAAAATACAGTTTTCAAGAGTTATTAACGCATTGCTTCAAAGATACTAATTGACCATATTTTGGATATTTAAATATATGTACGACTATCCTTGATAACTCATGATAATTTTCTGGACACAGTCATGTGTTGTCAGCAATAAATAAAAGTGACAAGTTACACAAAAACTGAATGACAAACATGGTATAAAGATTTTTAAATTACTCATGAATGTTACAGTATGTTGCCTGCTTTGGCCATCAACTACACTTAATGATCATGATTAAAGAGATAGCTCAATATTTATAGTGTTATCATTGGAAAAAGACCAGCGATCGGGGTTCAAAAACCTTTAACTTTCCTAAAAAAGACTTAACAAACTATGATACTAAATTACTTTGATTGGGTATTACTACAAATTCAACATTTACATATTCAACATAAAGGTTATCAACTCACGTGTTCTGCATGCAGCACCGTCTCTGTGGCCACAGCGGTCGCCTCAGTCTGAGTATGGCTGGTGCTGCTGATGCGATATTGCATCCCTGCAATGCTGCAGTAGCCCTCGTGATGTGTCGACCTCGTAGTGCTGTTCACGTACACTCCCGTGATCGTCACGTCCGTGTCTTGGTTCACGATAACGGCTACTTTCTGCTTGTTATTGGTCGTTCTCACGATAACGTCTTCGTCCGCACTAGATTCCTCAGCCTCCAGAGGCGACTCCGGTTGTTCCTTGATTTTCTTCTTCTTTTTCCTCTCCTTTTTGATCTCTTCCTCTATTTTTTCCTTTCTTTTCTCCTCTCTAGATTTTTTCTCCGTGGAATAGCTGGCGGTCATTATAGCGGACGCGTTTAGAGAGGCCATCCGTTTACGGACGACCATGTCTTTCAAATCCATCGTCAACTCGTTTCGCTTTCTTCGCCGTTTCTTGATCTTTTTCACACCGTCTTTGCTGTCTTCGTTTTGAGAAGGTGGTGTCTTCTTGGGAGATTCGTCGTCCGTTGTATGCTCAGATTCCTCCTTCTTTATTTGCAGTTGTTTTTGCTTAACGGAAGGTTGCAAAACTAACTGTTTCTTCTCCTCACCAGAATCACTACTTTCTTCTGACGAGCTAGATGATAAACTGGTAGAGGAAATCACGTTTAGTATGTCGAAGTTTCTCCCAACGCTGCGAACTCCTGGGTTCGTTCGTAGACTCCTGGTTGACGCCGGTTCTGGTGACTTTTTCCGAGGAGTTGGCTTTTTCGCAGTCACCTTCTTCTCTTTTTCCTTGTCTTTACCCTTTTCTTTTTCTTTTTCCTTCATCTCAAGTTGTCTAGCAAGCTTCTTGGATTCCTGAATGGCTCTTTGCAGCATAGCAGCGTTACTAATGACCTCATTCAGAGCTCCTCTACTTTCATTTTCGTACAAACAATGCACTTTGGCGATTGCATTCAAAGATGCTACTCTGTGCCTTTTTGGTCCATTCCAAAACTTTAATAGCTTGACTCGTCTACGTCCTTTAGTTTCCTCCTTTGCTTTGTCGTTACAGTCAATGTCCTTCCGGTGCTTTTCTTCAGAGAGTTTCGAATTCTTTACCAGTTTAGCCACTTTTTGCTTCTTCAGTGCCAAAGCCTTTAACTTTTCCTTTTTAGAAGTAATTTTGAGTTTAGCAACCGATTCTTGATCAATTTTCTTTAGAGATGCCTTGGATATTTTCTTAGTAGATTTTGATTTCGACTGTTTGTCAGTTTCATTTTTCTTCTTATCAGAACTAGTATTTGAATTTGAACTTTCGTCGTCCCTCATTGACAGAGGAATGTTGTCGACAGCATCTTGTCGAGGTGACTCCTTTCCTTCCTTAGTCTTTTTCACGGAACTTTGAGAAGTATCATCATTGTCTTTTTCTTGTTTGATATGTTTTTGCTTGGATTTTAATAGTTCTAGAGGAATTTCATCGGATGTGCTGGAATCTACACTCTTTAGATTGCTGTATTCATTTAGAGGGGATTTTACTTTAGAATCTTGGAGCAACAACTCTGTCTTTGATTTTGTTTCTACGTCTATACCAATATTCTCTTCAGATTTCTTAGAATGTTTTTCATCACTCTTGTGTTTATCAGCTGATGTCGTAAACTCTATCTCCATGTTTTGATCTTCACCAACGTTTTCCGTTTTTATTTTGAACGTGTCGTTTATTATTACTTCTGTTTTGTTGTCTGAACTGTCACGGTTGTTGTCTTTCATTTTACTTTCACAATGTTTGATTTTACTTTTGTCATCCACACCTTTGTTGGATTCTACTGAGGATTGCTTTGTCATTTTTTTCGTAGACTTAACATTCTCAGATTTTTTCATTTTCAACAAAGTCTTTTCATCTTTACTCCTTATTGGGGAAGTGTCTCTTGTCGGACTTTGAGAAGGTGACGATTCCTGTGAAGTACATTCTTTGGACGTAGATTTTCGTCTTGATGCGATTCCTTTTTTCACAATAGAAATCGTACTTCTATCGTTATTCTTTCCTCCACCCGATTTAGAACACTTTAGAGAATCTTTTTTATTCACTTGCTTGTTTTGTTTCACTGACAAAGTAACAGTGCTATGAGCGTTGCTAATCTTAACTGAAACTACACATGGTTTCTTTCCTGACATTTTATTAACTCGTTTAACAATGTTATGTTGTTTGACAACGTTGATCTTGCCTGAAATTTTCTTTACAGTTCCACTATCGGTAATTTTTTTGGGAGAAATTTTCGCCATTTTTGAAGCGACAACACTCTTGGCTTTCTTCACGTCTTTGACAGCCCGAACGATTTTTGCTCGTTTCGACTCATTCTCTAACTTAACTTCTTTTTTGGTAGCTTTGCTGACAACGACTTTCTTTGGTTTCGGTTTCACCTGTTTCGGACCAGTTTCTTTCTTCCCTTCTTTGACCTGTTTGGCTTTCGCCAGCTGAGGAACGCTTGTGGGACTCAACTTGGTTAGAACAACCTTGGGCTTCAGCAGCTTCTTCTTCTTCTCCGCGGGCTGGCCGGACTTGGTAGCCTCGCCTTCCGCGGATTTTACCGGTTTCTTCTTCTTCACCTCTGTTTTGACGGAGGGCGCGGCGCGCTTCTGTCCTTTACCCGGGGAGGCAGCTCGAGCGGTCTTATTTGCTGCGGAATCACGCGGAACCTCTTTCCGCATCCTACCGACGCGATCGCGGCACTAGACACGACACTCGACACTACGACCGCGACCACCACCGAGACACGAGGGAGCGACCGCGACTGCCACTGCTGACATCTGGAACAAAACACAGTCTCGTGAGAAACACAGACCCAGACACAATGCCAAGGGTTGGGCCCCCTCACGGGGCGTACAGGAACAACTTCGACAATGGCAAGTGAAGCTGCCGCTCAAAGCCTCCATTCGGGCTAGGCGAAACAATACAAGCATTCTACTAATAACAAGGCAATTACCACAACAGTAAATAATATAAATTAGAAACTAGTAATCAGTAAATAAGTAAACAAATATTTCCATTCAATTAGGGAATGCCCTCCGGAAGGATAATTGTAATCTAAAAGTGCATCAAGATGGTATAAATTATTATAAAAATAAGAGCCAGTAGTTGTAATATTGGTAGAAAAGTCACTCGGAAAAGTAATAGTAGGTATAATATTTACTTAATTCAATACTCGTGTCCAAAAATAGGAGTATATAAAATATACCTATTATTTTATTCAGAAAAAAACTTGTTTATACCCATCACCCACAATTTTCCCAATATTCTTTTCGAATAAGCCTTACCCAACAAATTAAATAAATAAATACACTCTTTTTGTAAACGCTGTGTTAACTGAGTAGCAATTACAAAAACACCACTCTGACATCAGGTGGGTATCAGAGTAAACTCTAAATACACAGAGGTTGTAAAGGGTAGTGGAGAGGTAGAGGGAATACACAGCTTGGGCGGATCGTGTGAACTAATCTCTGCATATTTATTAGTCACCGCCCTTAACCTAATATGCCATTTGTACCATTTGATCCCCAACTGTGCTGTGGATAATCCTTAAGTATTTCGCACAAAATCTTAAATTATACTTTACATTTTACAATTGCTTTCACTACATAAACAATGGTAATGACGTATACAGTGGTGTGTGCCCTATATAGATAATTTGTCGCCTTATTGTACAAGTATTTATTTTATTTTTATTTTCCGGGGTCAAACAGTATTTAAGTCGTTCAACCCAACTGCATGTTAGTTAAAATACCGTCCGAAATTAAACTTTACGTGTGCTTAAGATGGAATATTCCACACACAGGCTATATTTAAATTATGTTTGTAAAAAGGCAGATATTGATTCGTGATAGGTGAACAAATGATTTAGTGTTCGACTAGAAAAAAATCAATACTTTTTAGAGAAAAACGAGCCATAGACAATATACTACATCAATTAATTTATAAATTCTTTAAGACAGCAACACCAACTTGGGTGCGTATCTATCTAAATAAGAATACAGGTTGAGTGAAGAAATGAGTTGATCCATGAAGCATTGCTACTGGTTCTCTGCTGTTATTTTTAGCCAGGGCCATTTTAAATGCCCAACGATCAAGGATCTATCAAAAATCGTGAGATATTTGAAAATATGAATAAGGAAAATTGCTTTGGAATGAGTTTTGAAATGGTGGTTGAAAGGACCCCACTGGTGTCTAATTTTTTAACTCAGTTAAGTCAAATTCTTATACATTTTTAACGTTAAAAAACCATCTTGAGATAACACAAACGCTATAATATAACGCATTACGATAAAAAATACAAAAAATAAACTGATCTTCTAGCTAAAACTCTGTGTTTAGCATCTAACGAATTTTCAAGACACCTAGAAATTACACGCAGATATGAGAGGTTTGCCGCCACATAAACAAGGGGACGCGGGTTAAACCGTATATTGCCGTGTCAATGGTGAAAGTAGGGGAGGGTGTAATCAAGAATGTGTTAAGGGAGGGGGTAAGTGTAAAACATCCTGTGCATGTTTAATAGCCAACGCCGCTCTTCAGTTAATGCGATAGCGTATAATAATACGCGTACAAATGCGATTTACTCCCGGCCAAACGGGTTAACTTATTACAAAATGAAGGGAGACTTCTGTTGTATCAGAATTTATTTCGAGACAAATATGTTGTAGAACCTTGTGGATCATTGATTATTTTACAATAATGTTGGAATCCGTTACATACATTTTTACACTAAACTACTATCTTTTATCTATTGCAAAGACCAGGGGGCATGAATTGTCCTTGAAAAAATATGCGTAGCAATGACATATAATTTGATTATCCTCCAATCAAATGAAACTGTTGGGGCAGTATACGATAAACAGACTTGTGCTGGTAAGTATAATCATAGACGAAGGAAACAAAAGTTTCCTTTTTGTTTCCTTTTGTTACTCTAGTCTGTGGTATAATTAATTAAACAAAATATTTTACAAATTTCATGAAAGCAATCTTAATCATAATTTGCAAAGCTTTTAACAGTATTCTTATGTTACAGGTTTTATTGCACAAATTATATTATCTTGAAGTCATGTGCATAGCAAGTTTATGTTAATGTTTCGTTTAAGAATAAACTAAAGGTGTTAACCTCAATAAAGAAAAAAAGGTGTCCCCAGGAAAAAAACTTTCTAATTTTGTGGGCGTGCTGAGAATTGAACCCGTCCCCCAGCAACGAAGTCGAGACCCCTTAACTACGAGGCTAGAAACACAAAGTGTGTTTTACACAACTTCAATTCCTTAAAACGAATAAATAAAAAAATCCAAAAACACCCTAAAAAAATCAAATAATTAAATGCACGATACATACGGGTTTGTAAAAAATATGTAACAAACCATCTTGTATGAGCGAGGATAAATTTGGAACAAAACCATAACCGGTTGACACACGATAAAATAAATGGTGTAAGCTGAGGTTAAGTTAGGATTGGGGTCGGTAGTTTACTATTTACAGAGTGGGTTGTAGGGTTGGGGAGGAGTGAGGGGGGTAACGTATAATGTAAACAAAGCCTTCCTCCACATTACTGTCTCAACCACTGAACAAGATTTGAATACGCTATCAGGGGGTTTAAACAAGCAAATAATGTTCTTTGTAACACACTCAACTTCACACTGTGTAAACTCATGTGATTGGTTATAACCCTTATTGCTGACAGTTTAGAGGTTTCTAAAAACAAATATTTATGTCCAATGCTGACTATCAACCGAAATAAAAAAAATATTCTACGATAATAATAAAAAATAATTTTAATATAAAAATTAAACTAATTAATTATCAATATGTATTCATAAACGACATCGATACGGGTTAGCAATTAACTGGATAAGAAACCAGAAGTGCCATCTAGGTAGCTATCAAGCTATCGCAAAGCAACATTAGCTCATGGATTGGTTCAAGCTACAATGGGTACATAAAATCATTCGCCATCTAACTAGAACGTGCCTTCACAATAGGTAATTGACTGAGTCGACGCAGTAAATTAGTAAATTAGGTTGGACGTGTTCTCTAGAGCTAGAGCACTTAGTATTGTAAGTACTACTATTTTCCAAGCTTTGAAAGCAACTAAGAAATTGTTATTCTTTTATTGCTTTCAAAGCTTAGGAAATATTTTGTTTATTTAGAAAGCATATCTTGGAATTTTTATATGTTTAATGAAAACATACAGTGGTATTTGATACTTTGTATTTTAAAGAAAAGAAGATTAGAAGGACACGATGAATTGGCTTCTGAATCGTCAGAATTAACCAGGTTCGACGTTTATTTATTTATTTCTTTTAGGTTCTAGCGGGTTTGTAAAAACGTTGTCATTTGGTCACAATTTATAAGGCTCATGTAAAATTGTGCGATTTTTATAAGGATATAATAAATACGTCATTTAACACTATTTGATACACGTATACAATAAAGATTCACAAAAGAATGCACAAATTATGTTAGAATGAAGATCGATTTAGACCAGTCTTACGGTCGTAACCCAAAAACGCCAAAACCTAAATAGCCGAAGATATATATAAAGAAATCTACGTACCTATGATTTCATACAGGTCATTTTCTCCTTTTGATAGAGTGTTGGTTCAGAGGTGGATCATTGGGAGATAAATGAAGATTAGCCTGTTTGACCCAAAAAGAACGACAACATTCGGATTTAATTCGTCAATATGTTTATCAACAGTTTATTTTACAATTTCAAACAGCTGATACGAATTAATGAAATTATACATTTTGTATATCAAAGTAAGATTGCTTACCTTCTGTAGATAGCATTGATCATAGAAAATAATTAATAACACGTAAAGTAGTCTAGTTAGTACATAACAGCTTAACTAAAACACAGGTTGAAATAGCTAGCCTTTTTATTTTCAGAGGTCACCATTACAAAAAACGCTTGTAAGAGTTTCATACTAAATCGTATTCTTTAAAAAGCTGAAACATCTGAGTAAATATCCTGAGAAATAAAGATACACAAGTAATTTAATTTCAACCCACGTAGGCTAAACATTGATAAATACCAATATTTTTTTCTTTAAAGCGTTTTTGTTGACATCAAGACCAATCAATTGTTACTTCCCAAAGCACAGCTTTAGGGTTCTGAATGTCTTTGACAAAGCTATAAACTAAATAAAAAATACATTCCAAGCGGTTTTAGCGAGACGAAAACAGATATGTAAACGAACTTTCGATTATAAAAAATTTTAATTTACAACACATATCAAAAAATTACTGTCCAAAAAGTTAACAAAATAGTATATTTCATCAATAGGGCCTAAAGTAACTCTTTTTGACCCGAGGTCATGTTTTACGACCAAAGCGAAGCCGAGGTCGGTAAATGAGCGAGGGTTAAAAAGACACTTTTTGCCCGTGTGGTTAACTATATTTTTCGTCATATTGCATCATTAATTAACAAACTAAGCTAGAAAACAAAATAGTTTGTATGCAAAGATAACCTCTCAAAACGACTTCCAGCTAGTTTTCAATTCTGCTAATGCAAATAAGCAGCTAAATCATCTCGTGTATTGCGATTGTTCAATAACAACCGTTGTGCAATATTGTAACATATATTCCACAACACAAATATATTGTTGTGTAACATGTATTGTTGTGTAACATATATATTGTTGTTGTGTAATATTCTACAGTATAACATTCTAGTATACCATTCAGCATACTATTCTACAGTATATAATAGGTACAGTATACCCTCGATATGTCGAGCGATCGACAACAATATGCCTTGTTAGGCCACGT